AGCTGATTATCCATTGCTGCTAATCTACAGTTAGAATAGAATTTGCTTCAAACATGCATGATTATATTTACTCACATAAGCTCTGTTATAGTGAAAGCCTCCAAACTCAAGTGTAGCTGGTAGCATAACACTAGCAGAACCATCATCAACATTAGTATACACATTATAACTTGATGGATAAAGGAATGGAAGAAACTCTGAAGTAGGTTCTATGACAAAAAATGTAATATCACTAGGAGTAATGTAGAACATTAAAGGGGCGAGCTTAAGCAAACTATAGATTTTGCATGTGCTGTATGATCTACATGTCTGAGCTATAGCAAAGCAATTGCACATGTCTAAATTCAGTATCTCATTGCAGACTGGCATTAAAGTTATCTTGCTTATAGTTAGAAGCAGTCACTGAACATATTATATTTGAAGATTGTATATCTGCTTTGTTAACCTAGGCTTGCTGCTGGAGAAGAGATATCACCTAGAATATGCATGGTGCAGCTAGGTACAGTAAATGCAACTTTCTCATTTGCATTCAACTTATCAGAGTCCTTTGAATCAAGGAAAAAGATTGTATATCTGCTTTCCTAACCTTTATTCTTGCTAAAGAAGTTTTTAAACAGTAGTGTAGTCTTATCTTGCTGCCATTTGTCACTGTGGCAAAATAAGGTCAGACTTGCTGATAGCTGCAATTTTATTCATTGTGACAACACCTGCTTTCAATGAAGATTAGGCTATTTAACTTTAATAATAGTTAGACGATGTTTTCTTGCCTTAAGGTGGGTTCTCAATATGGCGCATTGTTTTTCATGCGCTAGCGTCATGACCGGAAGTGCTGTATAAACCAATAGGAGTATGCTTCAATGTGTCAGAATAGAAATTTTTTCTAATCTGACGCATTGATGCATGCACCCATTGGTTTATACAGCACTTCCAGTCGTGATGGATGTGCATGCGTCATATTGAGAACCAGCCTTTAGTGGGGCCATAAATACAGTATACAACAGGGATTTGAAACGCTCGGATAATTAATATTGATGCTCGTTACAGATTCAAATGGCTGCCCTATAAATGTAAATTACAAACCCTGTTTATTTCATATTTCTTGACGCTGCAGTATCACTAACACTTGATAACAATTCTATAATGTAAAAACTAATAGTTGGAATCAAATTAAAGTTGCATGCATCGCAAGTTTATCAAAAATAATCAAGTTCTTCATTGCAGAAACAGCCTTCCAAATATCTACAGGACAAAAATAGTCACTTCATTGTAGCTCATTACATTGAAGAGGTTCCGAGGGAACAATACTAATACCACAGATTTTTGTTATTAGTCATTGCCAGAGGGAGAAATTTCACTGTAGGTCCGACTATTCTTGATATCTTCAATAAAACACAGCTTAAGAGAAAATTAAGATAAAAAATTCTCAATACATTAGATAATAGTCACATCAATCTAGACATCTCATCATAATAGCTGTTGTTATCAATGTAGAAGCTAGAGGGAGAATAAGATCTCAAATCATACTAAAATGGATTTAAGAGTACCAGTTCATAAAATACCCTCAAAAGAGAGCCAAAGTTTTCCTAGAATGGGGACTAGTATACTCAAATCTTAAAAGTCATTAGACAGATGACTTTCTCGAGACTTTTCTGAAGAAGATCCCTGGCTATCTATTTTTAACCTGTAACACGCCTAGGTTCCTTGACAATTTTTACTGCCTCATTGAAATGTTAATGAAAGGATCACGTGATACCGGGCCGTTTCCAATCTTTGTTGTATACTGTAACTATGGTGGGGCGAGCTCAGGCTCGCCCCAATTACTATTAATTAATTATTACAAAATTAACCTGGTGTTGGTGTTGTTCTTTCAGGTATCTGACTGCAATCACTACCAGCGTAACCAACATTACAGGAGCACTGGTTTAAATTATTGCACACCTGAAGTGAGGGAGGGAGGGAGGAAGAGAGAAAGAGATTATATTAAATGAACTGACAAGGATTTGGACATAGTGCTCATGCAGCTTTTTATCAGTAGGAGCTTTAAAATTGGCAAAAAACCCTGCACATACATACCAGTAATAGCAACAAAAATCACATGGAATGAATTCTCTATTTTATAATTTTTTCTGATATGTATGTCCTTATGTTGTGTATCAACTTTGAACTGATTTCAATCAAAATTAACTTTTAATTAAGTTTAAAGTTGCATGTAACTGTACTTGTCAGCTCATGAAGCATGCTGTTTGCATGCTTTGTGGGAAACCCTGAATGTACATGTATAGCAATCTTAGCAATAATAGCATGTGGAGGACTGAACTTGGTTAGATGTACAGTAATTAAAAAGACTTCATTAATTTAATATTATGTACAGTTGTGTCAGTGTTAATTAGTAGCTGAATAGAGTCAGTTAAATATTTACAGTTGATAAGTGTTAATTTGTGTGCTGGCAGTTATAATTTATGTAATCTTTTATTAGGCTTTTATATGATGTAAATGTATAGCCGTACGGCAGTCTTAAGCCGTATGGTTACCTGAGGCTAGCCTCTCTTTTGTTAATAATGCTTTTTGTTCTTTATACATGTCATTTAAGCTTTGATTTTTGCAAGACTTGTGTGTGTGATTTTTGAGAAGAGATTTCTTTAAACTGAACCTGACCCATTACATAGCATGAGAAAGTAGTAAAGTGAGAGAAGCTCTTACGCCATTTCCAGAGCATGTCTGTTCATTACTTCCAATAGGACAGGGGATGACTCCATCCAGTGATGAAACTGATACACAGCTCTGACTAACACACATCTAACACGGAATAAAAAAATTAAATATAAAAAAGGGAAAGAGAATAGCAAAAAGGTTACACTACAGAAGTTTAAGTTTGCAGGTAATGAATTTTTATGTTTTTAGGTGCAGCAAAATGGCAGAAAGATATATTCATAAAATTTTATATCACAAATACCGTATAGGAGTTATACTTGACTCAAAATAAATTTTACTATTTTTGCATTTTCATTAAATTCATAAAATTAAATTCTACAAAAGAGGTGTGGTACACAAGAAAAATGGCTGCAGAAGGTAAAATTCACAAAAATTTATACCAACAAATTGAAAGGCCCGTACAGTATTAAATCTAGACAAATTCACAAGATTTTATACCCATGAAATATAGTACTATGGAATAATAAATCTTTTCAGAGTATAGTGAAATTAGTTTTAACTTTGAGGTGGATCCTCAAAATTATTGATCTACAAAAGTTAAAGTTCTATAAAATTTTTCATACCCTGTCAGTTCCACAGCTAGTCCCATCAACCACAAAACCAGGACTGACTTCATCAGCATCAGCACGTGTAGTGACACTCCTACACTCTTGATCACTAGCAAATCTAGTATAAGCTGTCAAAGCACTCCTTGACTTAACATTATTAAATATTATTCTGCCACCATTGCACTGGAGTGAACCACAGAATGCATTCCTATGAGTGGAAGAAAATAATTATTTTGCAGTTTTGCCCATTAAGTTGCAAAAAACTATGAAGTGTAAAGACATGAAAAACAATCAATTTAGAGATATTTTTGCTGGGAAAATTAATTTTTCAGAAAAATTTATTTTCCATAAACCCCAAAGTTATAGTGCATTATTATTTACTCAGTAGTGCAAGGAATGTAATTGGTACCATCAGCTCCACAGTGACCCCAGGGAATACCACGAGTATTGAACTGCGTGTAGCATACATCATTAGCAGGAACTGATTCTATAGAGAGAAAGAGGGACAATGAAAGAGGAGGCTTAGGAAGATTTACTGACCATTTCCAAAATAACGATTGCACTGATGATCCCGTGTAGAGCCACACGTACCATCGTAACAATAAGCCTGGAAAAATAATGAGAGAAAATGAACATTACTTTTATTAAATCATTAACATACAGTATTATTAGCACATGATAGTCCATTCTGTAGTGTTAAATCTGTTGGGCACTAAAAATAAAAAAAAAATTTAATAATTCAATTAATTTATTATTACTATTACTATTATTTTTAATTACTTATTATTTGCAATCAATTTCCATTTAATACTATACAAAATAATAATAATAATAATGATAATAAAAATTATTATTATTATGAAACAATTGGATGACAGAAAGACATAAAACAGACAGAAAAGAGGGCAAATAGAGAGGGCCTTGTATAAATGATTACTGTACAGCTGGAAATATTTGCGAAGCATTAAATTTTGTGAGTTTGCGGATGATTCAAAAAAGCAAAAATTTAAATCCACAAAAATAATGAAATTCATGCATGACCACAGTCATTAAGCTACAAAAACTGTCAAAACCGCAAAAATTTTATTATTATTATTATTATTATTATTATTATTATTATTATTATTATTGATTATCCTCACATCAGCATCTTGACCAGTACAATATTCTAATATGTCGCACATACCAGATGAATTACGACATGTAGTACCATACAACTTGAACTGTTAATTATAAAAAACAAGAATTATTTTTGAATAACAATGTAATGTAATTACTCTACAGTTTTCACAGCAAACTCCAGATCCGCATTGGGCAGTACTGACTAGTTCACATGTAGTGGCATTACAGCATGGATCATCGCAATCCTGAAATTGATAACATACTTAAAATTTAGCACACACAGACACTCACAGACTTACAGCTAAACTTCCGCAGTCACAAGTCTCTCCTGGTTCTCTTATTCCATTGCCGCACCTAGCAGTACCAACAATCTACAAAGAGAGAGAGAGAAAGAAATTAAAGGACAATAGATTGTACAACTAACAGTTGTTGGACTGTTTCCTAAGCAACGGTTAAGATCAGAATTGCCAGATCGATAGAAACCAGCATTTAATTCATTAATACTGCACTGGGACCAATTGGTGGCTGGAGGCCATCTGAGAGAAGAGAATGAATCATTGAATCTAAAATTAAATCAGTACCCTGAAACAGCATTCATAATGCAACCACTATTGGAATCAGGACAATTACAACCTAGTTATAATAATTTAAATAATAATGATGATTAATAATTAATTGGTTCTTACTTGAGTCGTCATCATGGCTCATACCAAAATTATGTCCCAATTCATGTGCAGCAATGGTAGCAACTGATGCAACACTACCTCTTGTATCCTATAAATTAATAAATTATTCTTCTATAAACAAGGAAATCAATAGGCGGTGGGTTTCTGATCAGGGAAAAAAAGAGAAGGCAAACAGTGATTTTAAAAATAAAACTAGTTATATACACAGTTTTAGTCAGCACAGTAACACATGATTAAAGTGTCTTAAAATAAGCACAATCACCAACTAACTTGAGTTAAGCTAACAGATGAATCAAAATTGCACATTGTACCAACATAAGCTATACCTACTGTAAAACCATCCAGATTAATACCACTATGAATAAATGATATAAATTATCATTATTTGTAGTAAAAGAGACTCACGTAATCAATTGGGTGTTATCATGAGTGATGGATCTGAATGCAGTGGTGCTAGTGTGGTATTGACGGAACAGTCTCAGTAGAGTGTCTGGTACTGAACTGAATGATATCTCTTGTCGTATTGTCCATGTCAACGAATAAACAATCACAATACAAACATTAATAGACTGAAACATCTAGAGAGAGAGAGAAATAAAAATAAATGGAAAAATGGAAATATGATTCAAGTGAGAGAATGAAAGAGATGAAGGAAGAATACTGGTCATTAGAAGTGATACTTACCAATTCAGGACTGGGGTGAAGTACATTAAGCAGTACTTAAGTACATTACAAGTCCTCTAAAGCTATCATAAGTACAAGTACAAGTACCTGCTTTAATTATGAAGTGGTACTTAAGTCCAAGTACAACTATTTATTATGTACCGTATTTGCTCGATTAAACGCCCGGGCGTTTATTTCTTAACAGGGAAAAAAATCAGGTAAAAAAAACAAAACAAAAAACGTCTAGTAGATTTGAGCTCACGACCTTCTGGCATTACAAACTGTACTCCAACAGTTAGGCTATCTGGCACAATCTAAATCTATTGGCACATATACTGGGTAAAATATGTGTAACTATAGTTAGAAAATATTTGTCATGGACATTTATTTAAGCAGGGCGTTTATTCGAACAAATACGGTACTTAAGTGCAATTTTAAGTACAAATTGAGATCACAATCACTTGTTCTTACTACATAAATTTGACTGAAATGAATATGATTGATTAAATAAATTATTGCATTTGATAAACATTAAATTGTTGAAAAATGAAAACTGTCTTCTTTTAGCGAGTATCTTAAAGGCGCAAAGAAAACTTCCAGCAATACTAAACAGTCTTTCCACATAGACAGAGGCAGCTGGCATACTAAGAATATGCTTTGTCATTTGAGCAAGAGTCAAATATTCTTTTTCATTAATTCTTTCAAAACTTAGCTAGATCTGAATCCCTTGAAAGGCACAAAACAGATTAATTTTATCAATAATTATATGACAATGTTAATCAGCTGCTTTTTGTAAAAAATGGTTGGTTTATTATCGCAATCTTTGTAAATGTATGCACTGTACTTCAAAGTACTTAAAGTACTTCTAAGTACATTAAGTACAGTGCATGTAAGAAGTACAAGTACAAGTACAAGTTAGGTTTAATTGCTAGTACTTAAGTACAAGTACAAGTACTCATGAGGCTGTACTTATTGTACTTAAGTAAAAGTACCAAGGTGCTTGGCCCCAGCCCTGCTTACCATGTCAACATGACTATATATTTCTAATGCCCTCAATACAACTGCACTGATGTTCCTTCCATAAGCAATGTACTATAAACAAAAACATAATATTTAAATTCCAATGACACATCAAAATTGTTACCTTAAGCCTACTATTATTCATGTCTACTAATTTTAGCAAAATCAGCAAAAGTCATGTTTAGCGTTACTAATTTTAGTGTTACTAATTTTAGCGTTTTTAATTAAATGCTTTTTAAAATAAACACTAAACAATGAAGAATGTAGAACAAAATTAAAGGCAAGCATGAAACCATTAAAAATAAGGGTACTTTGAATATAGCTAGCATAGTTATAGTAAATCATGCAGTCACAGGCTTTGAGTTCTTAGCTAGTCTTTTAAAAAGATTTTATATCTGAACACTACTTCCTACTGTAGCTGGCCTGATCATTTGCTGCAAAAAACTTCCACTTTTGGAGCCACCATTTTATTTACTTCACTAAAACCACACCTGCTAAATTAACTATCAATAATAGCCTTTATAATGAATAATGATTATGTTGGCGTCTATTTAATTTAGCGTTTTAAAGCTCTCTCACTAATAAATCATAGCTAAATTTAGTAGACGCAAATAATAGTAGGCTTAAGGTATTACATTTTTAATGTCCATACACACGCATTGGTTAGCTGTTTACTGTTAGCATAGTACAATCACTGTCATCAACACATACTATGGAATATATTAATAACAATGAAACAGTAGTGGTATTATACACTCCTACACAATCCAACAGTAATACAATGCCCTATACCATTGTTTAAAATTATTCTAGCTCTACAAAGTATACCAGTAGCTCAAAATAACAATGTTTCGTTTTTTTGTATCATTTCTGTTATCTTACCTGATGGTTATCGTTGACAATCAATAACTCAACAATGTCAGTAGCTGACTTTCTCCTCACCTAGAGTCACAAACATGACAATTACATGTACATGACTATAAATACCCTATGCAGAGAGCTGCCTCCTTCTGAAGGAAGCTTGAATCTATCTGATGAGACATTTCCATGAGGAGTACCTGAATGGGAAAAAGAATCATGACATAATGTACATAATACCATGAATGAGCACAATTCTTAGTAAGAAGCAATAGAAATAGTAAGAGTAATAAATAATTTCTGATTTACATCTGAGTAGTGTTACCTAACTTATTTCAGGCAGTGGCAGTAAATTTGTGTACAAAAATTATTCGTGTGCAAAAGAGGAGGAGAAAGGTGGCTCACCACAGACAGAATTTTGAAGTTTTTTCTTGTTCTCTGTGTCTTTATAAAGTACATGGGTATTGGCCAGGGTCTTGAAAAAGAATGACAAAATTAAAGTATTATTATTATTATTATTATTATTATTATTATTATTATTATGCATTATATCAGTTTAGTGTATGATAGTTAGCTCTGGTGTTGGTGTTTACACTTACATCCTTCTCTGGACTGACACGTAAGTGATCTTCAGTGAGTGGCTCCAGATGATACAAAGAGTTCTCATTATTCAGATCACCAAACCAGCCTCTGTGGAGAGAGACAGGAAAAAGAGAGAGAGAGGAGGGAATGAAAGAGACATGTTGGTAAGTTTAGTCTACATGTATATGTTAGTCTATAGACAACATGAATCATCATACACAATGTCTGCTTCATTCCATACCTCTAACAAATCAAATAAATCATTACATATAATGTATACATAATAATTATACTGTATACATGTACTTGTGGAGTAGCTATCAAAAGGCAATGAGTGGGAGCCCTACACTACCACAGTGGCAGATCTAGGGGGTTCCATGGAACCCCCTTTTGGCAGAAGTTGTTATTTGCAGTGTCTTTGCAGCCAGTTTGCAGCACTTTTCTTCCATTTTATTAATTAAAATTGATGAGCCACACCCAAATTTAATTTAAATTAATGAGCCACACCTACTTAAGTGAAATGGAGCCCCCCTTTTAATTTTTCTGGATCCGCCAGTGCACCATATATACTATTTGTTTCATAATCAATACAACCATGCCCGAGTATTAGCACATGTCACACCTTTGACCAGTACATGAAATACTGTATAGCTTAAAACTTTTGAGGTTGAAAACTTTTGCCAATAAGTGAAAAGGGATATATTTGCAATTGATTTTTAGTGAATGGCCCAGGTCCATTGCATTGAGTGTGTGGCTAGCAACTCTATACTTGAAGATGACATCACCTTGAGAAAGCTCGTACAGCATCAGGCAAACAAAAAGGATGACTGCAAGAGGGTCTTGGTCTTCTTTCTTCAAAGTACAGCTAATATAGGCCATTTTAAGACACATGTAATTCACTAAGGCAATCACACGCCTACTCAACCACACCCTGTGATTTGACATGATTAAAGCTTTTGTGTTTGAGCGGGCCTAAACGTAAACCGTGAAATTTGCAAAAGTTTAGTTTCCAGCCTAAAAGATTTGAGCTATATGGTATATAGACTGGGTGGTAGTACGTGCTATCTGCCATGGAGCACTACCACTCAGTTATTTGCTATAGACTTTTCCCACCAGTGCAGCATTTAGCAATGAATATCATTAACGGACATCATTAAGGAGCCGCCATGTTGTGGGATAGATGTACAGTAATGAATGGGAGAAAAGTAACTTTTCCAATTTTCATTTTAAATGCAACTTATGCAAGCTCTGCTTCACATAGAAATGTTTGCTGCACATTTGTTGTATAATTCTACTTATCATACTGCAATTTGGTCTTTGCTTTCCCAGTTATCTAGGAGAAAATAAAGAAAATAGTGCTTTTTGCCTGTTCATCACTGTACATCCATCCCACAAGATGGTGGTTCATTAATGATATTCATTGCTAATCGCACAGTGGTGGGAAAGGTCTTTATAAAGTATACTTGAGCAAAGGTAAGCCATCTGGAATAGATAGATCTAAACAATTAAATTGCTTACTGTGTAATTATAAAAACAAACTAAATCACTTTTTCATCACACACTTTCAAGCAAATTTTGATTCCAGTAATCATCACACTTTTCATGTCATGTGTCCCTGTATCATTTGCTCTAAATTCCCTCCATCCCAGACATTGCATGTACACGATACACGAGTATTTAGACAAAAAACAGGTCTTCTAGTACATACAAGTATATACATGAACCAAAAATAAGTAGATGGAGTCTGAGTAGACGATTTTCATGTATTTATATTAACTATTAATAATTAAAGGGTGTGTCTATGTAGCAGTCAAAATGGCAGTTAGTTTGCTTAAACACGGATCTTTGATGGTCTTTTTAGTCCTTCTAGCAATAGCAGATGATGAAAACAGCAATAGAAAAGGTGATGAAGACATTAGCCTTACATGAAAAGTAAACGAAAAATCACCAAAATATAGATGAATTTGGGAAGCAATAAGTAAATGTACATACAAAAAAATTTGCCAATGAATACAAGTAAATACACGACCTGCTTTTTTCAAAATACAAGTAAATACAAGTACACAAAAATTCCAGTAGACGTGCAACGTCTGCTCCATCCATCAATCTCTCATCATCTCATGATTCACTCAAGCTCATAAATCATAATACTTTGACGCCACTTATTTTTAAGTAGACAAATATTTGCAATTTGTTAATGGTATTGATTTAGCATGTACTAATTTTTACGATTTTGCTCTTTTTTCAATTAAAACTATTAATAAACCTAAATTATTAATGCAAGTGCAATTTTAAAGCCACTGGCAGAAACGCAAAAAATTAGTACTCACAAATAATAGTGGCTTTAAGGTAGTTCTTTCTCTTTTGTTGATCTTTGTCCATGTTATGTTTATTTATTTATTTTTCACCCTTTTTGTTTGCTTGTTTGTATTTCTGGGATTTTTGCCTTCCTGCAGGTCAATCTCCTCTATTTGTGCCATTTTATTTTTTTACATGTTTTACTCTCTGTTTTTGTCCTATAAAACTCTATTAAAATTAAATTAATTATTAAAGTTTACTAAGCATGTGCAGTAGAACAAAAAGGTACAGTAGAACAAAAAGGCACATGGCTGCCTTGAGTAGGTCTGCTATCAAAACCACAA